GGCATCAGCGGCATATTACGTCAAACTACTCAACATGGCACTCGAATATGTTATTATAAATCGCGTACATTGTCCGACACCGAAAAACGTTATGATCCAATGGAACGCGAGGCGTTAGCTATGTATTGGAGTATACAGCAACTACGAGAATATATTGGCGACTCTTATTTTTCGATAGAAACGGACAGTCAACCATTGATCAACTTTCATAAAAAACAAATTGATAATAAACGTGTTATGCATTGGCTATTTAAATTGCAAGATATTATTCCACAAATTACTGAAGTCAAACACTTGCCTCGTGATAAGAACACCGGTCCCGATTACCTTTCGAAACACCCGATCTCCTCGACATCGAAAAAGCCCATCAATGATAACGATTGGCCTCAAGGGACTGAAACATGGGAAATTAAACCACAACGTCCGCCATCTACGTTCTTCACACAACTAAATGCCGTCATTACGCGTCAACAAGCTAAACGATTAATACCAGCTCCGCCTCTGACAACCTCCACGGCAGCTCATGCATCTCTTTCATCGGCGCCAGCTACAACTACAAGTCCCTCTCCACAATTGTTCGACTTCAGCCTAGATCGTATTAGAAAAGAACAAATGGAAGACACCGATATTATAGAAATATTTAACATGGTCAAACAAAATCCGTCAAAATCTTCCTTTACAATTAAGGATGTTGTCCTGTTTAAACTATTACCTCGAGGGAAAAGAAAACTACGTGTACCTTATATTCCACAAACACTAATTAAAGATATACTATTCACCCATCATGATCATCCATTAGCTGGACATTTTGGCATGGAACGCACATGGAGAAACATTAAGAACAAATATTATTGGCTAAATATGAAAGATTCAATTGAAAATTACATTCGATCGTGTTCTAAGTGTTCAAAATTTAATATACAACGTCGAAAGGCTCCTGGTCTATTGCAACCGATTGATCCAGCTCCGGTCTCATCAGACGAATATAAATACGTTCTAGTCATAACCGACCGATTATCCGGCTACGTCATTGCAAAGGCTTCTTCTAACAACACTGCTCAGACCACAGCTCAAATACTAATGGAAAATGTTATTCTCGTTCATGGGGCGCCTGATAAAATCATCGCCGATCAAGGACAGCATTTCAACAATGAATTAATAGCAGCGATGTCGGTGCTTATCGGTTCGAAACACGTCTTTTCGACTCCATATCATCCCCAAACTAATGGTCAAACTGAACGTTTCAACGCTACATTTGCAACACAGTAATCCAAATATTGTGATGAAGACAAATCAAATTGGGATCTTTATCTGCCATCCATCGTCTACGCCTACAATCATGGTCAACATCGTTCTACGGGCTACACCCCGTACCAGCTCGCCTTCGCTCGTATGCCTCGTAATCCATTTGATCGTCCGCCAACAGAATTCAAATTCTCACATCCTAACGATTATTGGACTGAACTTCAACGCTTCAAAGTGATTGCTAACAAGATGGCTCGTTCAAACATTCAATACCGACAAACATTGACAAAACAGCTTTATGATCGAACTAGATCCAGTCCTGTTTACAACATTGATGATCTCGTTTGGCTCAAAATATTAATCGGCCGATCAAAGTTAGATGAACGCTATCGTGGTCCCTATCGAATTACTGATAAAATTCCTGCAGTCAATTACATGTTAGATGATGGTGATGGTGCATTCGTGGCACACGTCAATAACTTATTACCGGTTTATGAACGCTTGGTTTAGTTGACTGTTTGTTTTCTGTTATGTTGTCACCACTCCTTTGTTTCGATGAGCCGCGAGGCTCATCTTCAAGCCACGGGGGGAGTGTTATGTCAGCCGTCACTGGCATTCCTTCCTCTTCCTGTTTTCCATTTCTCATTATCACAAAGAATGTTGACTCAGTTCTGGCTGAGTCAACATTCTTTCTTCATCTCTTTCATTTCTGATGACCACAAAGAATGTTGACTCAGATCTTCTTGGATCAACATTCTTTCTTCATCTATATAGAGTGTCTGTTTGTACACACCGAGGCAGTTTTTTGTTTTGACGTTTTGTGTAATTTTATTCTCTCGAATAAAATCTGTGGAGGCTAGCAAATGGTCCACTAGCTGGCGTGCATTTATTTATTGTGGCATTAAAAATGGAACAAAGAAAATAAAAAATTTCGTCGTCCACGACCCAAATCGTCAGTTTTCTTTAGACAACCACGAAAAGCACAAACATAAGGCATACCTTTATTTGAAAACTACTTGTTTTGCATTATTATTATGTTTTGCAGAGATATATATATGTGTAGAAAAAAGTTACGGGTGGCAGAAACCAAGATAAAGGAAGAGAGACACTCTAGGCAGTCAGACATACATGCATCTGTGTTAATTTTTATTTTCTTTGTTCTGTTTTGTTTATGTTGAATATTCATCTTTATATGACCTAATGTAACGATGACTGTCGAAATATTCACTACAAAAACGCATCAGAATCGTTGAAAAACAGCCCAGACTTTCAGTCAGACATACCGTTGTCCGTTCCCTTCCACTAAAAAATAAATAATTAATCATTTTAAAGTGAAAAATGTTTTTTTTCACTTTTTTTACAAAAGGATTTTCCACAGATCTTATAGAAAACCAGGATTGCGTAATATCAGAATTGTTATGTCAGCCGTCACTGGCATTCCTTCCTCTTCCTGTTTTCCATTTCTCATTATCACAAAGAATGTTGACTCAGTTCTGGCTGAGTCAACATTCTTTCTTCATCTCTTTCATTTCTGATGACCACAAAGAATGTTGACTCAGATCTTCTTGGATCAACATTCTTTCTTCATCTATATAGAGTGTCTGTTTGTACACACCGAGGCAGTTTTTTGTTTTGACCTTTGTTGTAATTTTATTCTCTCGACTAAAATCTGTGGAGGCTAGCAAGAATCTTGTCAAATATCTAGTTCTGTTAAGTTGTTCATTCTCTATCCAATGGTGTTTATGTGACGTCTCCATCAATTTTGTACGTTGGGTTATTCAGATTTTAAAAGAGGTTCAAATTTTACAATTTCCAAAAACATTTAAAAATTTAAATTTTGAGTTGGAGACCCAATTTATTTTCCTCAAAATATAATACATTCTTTGCTGAATACAGCCATATAATTAAAAATGTTCCATCATTTCTAACTTTTCCAGAAAAAAGCTTTCTTGTCTACCAGTGGATCAAAAAACCCGGATTTTCCAGAAGACACGTTTCCGACCATTTCGCACAAAAGTGTACCGACCAAATCAACTTTAACCGCCCGAACGGCAATAAAAACTGCTGCTATGGGGTTTTACAAAGTTTAAGACGAAAACGAAACGAAAACGTTTCACTCATTAAGCGTATATTAAGAAAGGAACCATGACTCGTCGTAAATAATTTACGTTTTGCTCATAAGGAATACAATAATGTTGTACAATAAAAATTTGTACAACACCATTGCAGCAGTTTTCATTGCCGTTCGGATGTTTAAGGTTCATTTGGGAGACGACAATATTATAATTGTGCGTACATTTGGTCACCGTAATATTATACAATAATATATCTTTTACTTACAGTTGACTGTTTTTGTGTTCTGGCTGTCCATGACGCTAAACTATCTCATTTCAGATGAAAAAATCCAAAAAGTCCAATCGAAAAAAGTCGATATTTTCGATATGGATACCTATGCATGCCTATTTGGGTAATAC